TTTGGAAGATCTCAAATGACTCGTTTTGCTAGGTTATCTATTGTTGTTCATAACAAACAAACAAATGCATTGTTTCTCTCTCAGAGTATCTAAACAAGAAGATCAAGTATCTGTGAGAGAACAGATGAGTTCGTGAAAAGCGAATAGTAAAATATTTGGAATGAGGCCTCATCAAAGTCGATTTTCCTTGGTATGAGGAGGGCACGGGTGAAGCAAAGAAAAACTAAACATAAGTTATTCATTCAAACAACAACAAGTGGGTGCAGTTTTTCAGTGGAAAACAATACAACAAACAAGTTCATTTCTATTCCGAGCATGCTCTTTTGTCTTATTTGTCGTCTTCTCTACAGAAGTATTCTGAGATGCATGTCAATGTTCTCGAAGTAGGACAGTGGTGCTCACGTCATTTCCACAGTAGGTGGGAGATAGGTATTATTTTTTTTTTAAGAATATGTTTGTGTTTTGAATTGTTGGTATGTGTGAATGTTAATTATGACTTTTTTAAGTGTTAATTAATTTAATAAACATTTTTATAATGTATAACAAATGATATGAGATAAAAATTTAGTTAGTTTTTGCATTTTTTAATTTTTTAAATGATAAAAATTTAAACTAGACAAAATTGACGTAATAAATATTTGTCATTCCTTTGATATTTATAGCAAAGACAATAAACTTTTATATTGTCTGTTGGTAATTAAAAAAATATTCAAATGTGTGAGCAATAGTTTGAAAAGAATGCAAATACATACGATGATGTAAGTTTTTAGAATTGCATCGTTCGTAAAATACCTATTTGCATTGTGCATTGGAAACTGGTACAATATTTTAACAAAGAATAATAGTTTAATAACATTATGTATCATTGTAGTATATTTATATTTGGTCCTCTATGGGAAGATTACTTAGATGCCCACTTGGTCTTCTTTTAGGTGATCACTTAGACTTCTCTTAGATAACTAGGTGGTCTTCTTTGATGAGATAACACGATTTTCTAACAGAAGATGACATTCTATAACAAGATAAGTTTGTTTTCTTAAAGAAGGTCCTTCGGTCTTCTAGGAAACTTATATTATAATAAGGTTCTAAGTGGTTAAAAATTTTAATAATTTTTGAAAAGGATTGTCTTTTCTACGAGTAGCCCTTGTAGTCTTCTACCAAGACCCCGCCTGTCTTCTATAAAAAAATGTTTGGATACATAGAAGAAACCTTGTAGTAATGTATGAAAGCTCTAACGACATAATTCAAAAATTAGAAATTTTCAACACGTTAAGACGACTCGGTCGTCTTTAGGTAGACTTTTCGGTCGAGGCAACCCCTGTCCACCACGACATTATAATAGTAAGGCTCTATATGGTAAAATTTTAATACTTCTTTGATAAAAATTGTTTTTTCTACAAGTAGCCCTTTTAGTCTTCTACAAAGGCCCCGTATGTCTTCTATAAAAAATATGTTTGGATACATAGAGGAAACCTTGTAGTGTTGTATGAAAGCTCTATTGCAACGACATAATTCAAAAATTAGTAATTTTCAACACGTTTCCAATTTCCTTATCAAAAAATAATAATTTTAAAATTTCAAAACATAACATCTAATGACGCACTATTTCCTATCTAAGCTGTGTAATTATTGAAAAAACAAATATAAAGTTTTGTTGGTCTCGACTCAGCAGTGTCTCCCACTGGCTTTGCTACTTTTAGCGATAATATCCGAATGAAAACCACCAAACAAATATTTCAACAATACTGTCATACGACAAAATCGTGACATTAATGCTCGCATTAATGTTGGACCTGACAAAAATAGCAACACTTTCGAAAGCAGTTTCTATGACCAATTTTAGGTATAAATTGAAACGATTTTGCTGTTGTTGTTGTTGTATTCGCAAGTGTGCGTGCCATCATCGTAACTGTTTAGGTTGCAACAAATGCGACTGATTGAGTACCCAACTCTGCGATAAGGTTAATATGTTCCAACTCACTTGCATACCGCTGTCTCGATGGCAAAAAGTTAAGAAATGTAAACAAATTTACAAACATGCATACATATATTCATACATCCAATACAAACCAAACTTACTTTGATAAGATATCGCAAATTTATTTATTTTTTTTTTTTTCAAAGAAAAAATTCCATTCGAAGGAAGTTCAGTCACTATTAAGAAAATATTTAAAGTATGACGACATTTCCTATGTTTAACTTCGCCGCCAATCAACGTTGTGTTTTAAAGAATATCTGAACACAAAGTACACGGGGTAATTAGTCATAATAATTTTAAATAAGTGTTCCACTTTAAAGATAAACATTTGGAATCGAGAAAAATTATTTTGTAAATACTTAAAAATAGGGCAGTTTCGCAATATATTATTTATCTATCAAACAATATCGAGTTGCAAATGGGAAAGCCGGACTGTCTATCATATGATCATATGATCTTCTAGAGATAGTGCACCTATTACAGTTATTAGGTACATAGGTACCACAAGGCATTCGTCTAGGAGATACCAAGCTCTTTGTCTAGGAAACCACAATGTCTTCGTCAGGAAGGCCACAATAATTCTTATTGAACCAAAATGTACTGAAAATATTTAAATAAATAAATTTATATTATAGGTGGATTTATTTTGGTATTTAAGCAGTATTTTGTTGTGCCTTCAACTGCTTAATCTACCTTGGTTTACTTTTTTACAAAAAAAAAAAAAAAAAAACAAGTTACTTTACTCTGAGAAAGAAATCGCTTGACAGTTCTTGCAGGGATATATGACCAGACAGACCTATTGTGTGAGGATTTTATGACAGCAACTATACAGGATGAGATGAAAAAAATGCAACCAACTTCAGATTGTTGTCATTTCAAAGCCACTCGTCCGACAGCTGTTACTCCAGTGACAGCTTATTATATTGTTTACAAGCGTTCAAAAGTATTTGGGTGAGAATTTTCCAAAAAAAAAGTTATTCGTGATGGAATTCAAGCGTGATAGTGTGATTTTTTTATATTTGGCTGGAAACCCACAAGTGGCTATCGTTAGAGCACTCCAGCATTTAAATGTGAATAAATCTTTTGTGTCTCGTACCATCGCTCGTTACCATGATACTGGTAGCATAGCCCGACGTCAAGGATGTGGACGGAAGAAAACAGCAACATCAGCAGAAATGGTTCGAAAAGTAAAGAAGCGACTTGATCGAAACCCGCGTCGCAGTGGCCGAAAAATGGTTCGTGAGCTGAACATATCGTAATATTCTATTCGGCAAACATTGAAAAATTAACTCGGGGTAAACCCATTGAATTCCAAAAAGTGCAAGAACTTACACCGCAACAGAAAGAAAATCGACTCAAAAGATAGTGTGATTTCTTTATATTTGGCTGGAAACCCACAAGTGGCTATCGTTAGAGTACTCCAGCATTTAAATGTAAATAAATCTTTTGTGTCTCGTACCATCGCTCGTTACCGTGATACTGGTAGCGTAGCCCGACATCAAGAAAGTGGATGGAAGAAAACAACAACATCAGCAGAAATAGTTTGAAAAGTAAAGAAGTGACTTGATCGAAACCCGTGTCGCAGTGGCCGACAACCAGTGGCTCGTGATCTGAACATATCACAATATTCCATTCAGCAAATATTGAAAAATGAGCTCGGGGTAAACCCATTGAATTCCACAAAGTGCAAGAACTTACACCGCAACAGAAAGAAAATCGACTCAAAAGATAGTGTGATTTCGGCGTGATAGTGTGATTTCTTTATATTTGGCTGGAAACCCACAAGTGGCTATCGTTAGAGTACTCCAGCATTTAAATGTAAATAAATCTTTTGTGTCTCGTACCATCGCTCGTTACCATGATACTGGTAGCGTAGCCCGACATCAAGGAAGTGTGCGGAAGAAAACAACAACATCAGCAGAAATAGTTTGAAAAGTAAAGAAGTGACTTGATCGAAATCCGTGTCGCAGTGGCCGAAAAATGGCTCCCGAGCTGAACATATCGCAATATTCCATTCGGCAAATATTGAAAAATGAGCTCGGGGTAAACTCATTGAATTCCAAAAAGTGCAAGAACTTACACCGCAACAGAAAGAAAATCGACTCAAAAGAGCTAAAGAGTTGCTTCGCTTGGCCGAAAGTGGTGAACTGTTGAATATGGTTTTCTCCGATGAGAAATCATTATTTGTCCAGCAGTTTGTAAATAAACAAAATGATCGTGTTTACTTGGTTGGCCATCAGAACTTAAGCGCCGCTAATGGTGATGGTGTGGGCCGCCATAACAGTCGATGGTCGCTCTCCGCTCGTATTAATTGATCGTGGCATCAGAATAAATGCCGACCTTGGACATTCCAACAGGACTGAGCACCATCGCACTCAGCACGCGCCTCCCATGAATGTTTACAAAATGAGGTTCCTCGCATCATTTCCATCTCAAAATGGCCACCAAAATCTCCGGATACCAATCTATTGGACTATTGTGTCTGGATTATTTTGGAAAGCAAGGTTGGTACTAAAAAATACCAAAGGGTCGATCACCTCGAGCCCTTCGCCGGGAATGGGCCAAAATACCGCAGAGCAACATTCGGGCAACGGGTGACGGTTTCATTGGCCGTTTGAATGCTATAGATCGTGCCAAAGGTGACCAATTCGAACAAATCTAAACATATTCTAAAATTTTATGCTATTTCCGACATTTTTTGCTTGCATTCAATAAAATATAAAAAATGTAAAAATTATGGCATTTGACTTGTTGCAGTTTTTTTATCTTACCCTGTAGATTTTTGTTTATTGAGAGCACGCATTTTTCCCATCGGTGGAAAACATGTTACTAATCACCTTTGCAAAAAGAACCCTATGTGTATGGAAATCGTATTTTGTTCATATGAATCAAGTGTTTTCTGTGTCTTTATGTTTATATATTCTTCCATGTTTAAAAATGTCTAAATTGCAATAAATTTCATTAAAAATCACTTGTTTACGTTTCTTATCGCTTTTGTTTTCATTTTGTTTTTAAATTTCAGAATATTTTTGTTTTTGTCAAGCTTCATAACAAACAAACCAAACAACAACAAATATGGGCAATCCAATCTGGTTTATCTTTTGGTTTTTGGTCTTTTGGTTCATTTCGTTCTTTGTGGCATTCTTCTGTGCCGCTTTCTACATCATTCTGTTGATCTTTACGACTTGTTTCCCCGCGTTGACGGTAAGTACATATGGATACCAAAACAAAAATAAATATTGGCAGAGAAACAAAGAGATAGAGAGAGAGAGAGAGAGGGAAGAGACTGACTCTCTCTCTCTCTCTCTTACTATATAATAATCTTACATTAAATTTTATCGCATGCTGTAAATTTTAATACTTTTCTTCCCTCTTACAGTCAATAACCGACATTCTATTACAATGTCTCCAATTCCCCCACTACTGTGCCAAGGCTATGATGGAATGCAGACAACCATTCTAAATTATGAACCATGTGGAATCTTCTAAACAAAATTGATCATAATTTCTTTAATTTCTATTCTAATGTAAATTGCATTTTGTTCGTTTAATTATTATTTATTCATAACATTAAAGTACAATTAATTATAATTACTTTAAAATAAATTCCCTTTTTTATATGGAAAATGAATAACAAATAAATAAATATATTTGTTATATTTTATTTGTAATTCGAGAATTTTCTCTGCAATTCGAATTATTTAAAACGGTTTTTAATGCGAATTATTACATTTGTAATTCCCGTAAATTATGTAGGAAAAATAATAAGGGCAATTATCCAGACCTAGTTTTTACTTAAAAAAATAAGATTAGGAAAGCTGGTTTGTAAAGAGTATAGTTGCAGCTACGGTGTGCACTTAATACTAGCTGCTGAGAGATCTTCAAATGCAAGTAAAAAATTCTCAGGGTGAGGTTGAGGAAGTTAGTTCTGTCAAGGAAGAAATTCAAGCGACAAAACAAACTGAGCGCGATATCAAGGGTTTCAAGGCAAAAATAAGATTCAATTGAGATTCTAACAGAAGGATCAGTGTCTTGGGGCCTAAGGAATTGCAACTTACAGAAAATTCATCTATTCCGGGAAAGCTCAACTTCTCGAATATCGGGAAGAACCGTTATATGGGGGCTATACGAACACGTGGACCTATATAACCAATATTCTGCCACCGAAGCTGGAACACATTATGACCTACAAGTACAGGGTTGCCCATATTCGACGGACCCATGACTCTTTGGACCCATTCCAATCGACGAGGCTTGTCCGCAGGCAACATTCTTTGCGTCAATTGAATTTTGTACGGGAACAAATGCAAATCAATGCGAATAATCCGTTGTAAAGTGGACCGAGCCATGCCCAACTGCCGAGAACGGCGTTTTTGGGATGTTCTTGGGGACCTCTCAACACTGGCTCGTACGGCAGCGATATTCTCTGCCGATCGCCTTGGTCGACTTTTATATGGCCTCTTCTGTTCTTAGAAGGCGCACTTCTCACATTTTTTAATGTTTTAAAAGCACGTTGAGTTTTCACAATTGACTTTTTCTGTTGAATGTAAATTTCAACTATTTCGCGTGGCGTGTATTGGTTCATGGTAAAAATCTGCTTGGACTGACGCTTCAAACGCGGTATGTCATTAAGCGATGTGACATCTCTGTCAAAAGTTATGGCGTTGCCAGATGGGTCCGTCGAATATGGACAACCCTGTACCAATTTTTAGACAAATCCGTGGTAAAGTGTGGCGAAAATCATGAAAATATTCAATATTGGAAGGTGCCGTTATATGGCGGCTATACCAAAACCGATATATCTCATTTTCAATACCAACCTTCCTAGACGCAATACAAACTACTGTGCTAAATTTGAAAGCTCTACGTTAAATAATGTGGGTGATTTTAACAGACAGACGGACGGACAGACAGACATACATCGTTAAATCGGCTTAGAATTTTATGTTGATCATGAATATGTATACTTTATGGAGTCTACGACGAATATAGAGAGGTGTTACAAACGGAATGGCAAATACCAAATTTGCAACCTTTCCAGTTAATAATGTCGCTAAAATTATCAAAGTACCGAATATCGGTAGGTACCGTTATATGGGGGCTATACCAAGACGTGACCTTGCACAGACAATTTTCTGTCTTAGGCTGTAGTATATATTACGAACTTCAAATACCAAATTGAAACATTTTCGGAGAATAATGTCGCTAAAATCATCAAAATATCTAAAATGGCCTATTTTCAATACCAAAAGTCCTGCAGACAAAAATATATATTTGAGTAAAATTTTATCAACCAACTTCATTTCGTTCAGAAGCTAGAGTGATTTCCACAGACGGATAGATGGTCAGACGGACGAACATCGCTAAATCGCAGAATTTTATGATGATCAAGTATATTTATACTTTGTGGGATTTGAAATATATATTTCGAGGTGTTACAAACGGAATGACAAATTTAATATACCCTCCATACTATGGTGGAGGGTATAAAAATGTATTTATACGATTTCATGAGACTCATTTTATTATATTATTTTTTAAGTGATTTTTTCGAAGTTTTTCTGACATAATGTTTCGAAGTTTCCTCTTTCTATCTATTCTTGAAACTTTTCGGTCTCCTAACAAGGCTTCTTTGTGAAGTGGGTATTAGAAGGTACTTCTAACATAAGAATGCCATTCGACGCACTTTCATAGTTATCATCTCTTTGCCTAAGAAAATTATTTTTAAAATGTGACAAACATCTTTAATCTGGTGCCTCAATTTGTTTATCACTGGCTTAGGTCCAAAGCATTCGTCATGTTGGAGCTCACCTGAAGCTTTTTCCACACAATCAGCTGAATTTCAAACAAAACCAAAACAAAGAAACCCAAATAAATAGCTGTAAATCAAGTAAAGTTTTCCGGCCGGTGGGTAAATTGAAAAGGGAAAGCTTTCATTCGGCTGTTTTGGCATTTTTGTGGAAATGCCAGAGCAAAAGAAACAAACCAATTCAGAGAAGAGACAATTGTGAGACCATCAAAAAATAATGATAAAAGTGTTATACCGTAAATTCAAAGCTTTTTCCTGTTGTGCTTCTTACCTTAGTACCTTTGCCGAGGGTACAACTAAAAATTGATGCTTTTTTACATGGGGATGTATGTGTTTGTTTGAGAGCGTGTTCGCTCGGTGGGGACCTGTGAAAAAATTCTAAGGCAAACGTAAGTCGTCTTTTCTAACGTGAGTTGCTTTCATAGCGGACGGTTGGTTTTCTGAAAAGAGAATAAATAAATAAAAATTGTTGAAAATATAAAAAAAATTAAACAAATTTAATAGAAAAAAATAAATGTTTACCGATAATAAATGTTTCACGAAAAATCTATGTAAATAAAACCGACAAGAAAACTTTCATTTGTGATTGTATTCGCAATAGCAGTGATAACTTTATATATTATTTTAATTTATTAAGGAAAACAAAAATTCTAATTGAAATTCTTTTTGTTGTTGTCCAAAGAAGAATTTTGTTTGAAAAAGGTATAGCATACCTTAAGGCTGTTTCTGTTTAAAGCTCACATTTTGTCGTTTTTTTTCAGTTTTGTTGTTTTATAACAGTGTTTCATTCTGTGTATATGCGTGTGTGCATCTGTGTGTGCATATGGATTATACGGGACATTCTAACAAAAGGTCTATCCATCCATGATTTAATATAGCTGCGATTTAATATTCAGTTTTATTTCTTGTGTCCGTTTAATTGTTTAATAAATGCTCTCCCATTTCCTATATTTTGTTGGGGGGAAATATGGAAGCGAGAAAGGAGCTTTGGGCACGAGCACAAAAACCAACAAAAACACATAAAATTTGTTGAAACCAAATATACGAAAATGGGAATAAAGAAAACGCACATACTCACTCAAAATACGACGAAAATGAAAACAGCTGCAGTAGAATTATTATGATTGGTACTGTTGTTATTCGGCTGGCTGGTATCCCTTTTCCACGTTTACTGTCAGCAAGAAGCTCTTTTCATCCTCTTCTTCTTCTGCTCTAGCTTGTGTATTGTACGTTTTTGTATCTGTGTATGTGAGAGTGTCTCTTTTCGGTTTGTAGTGATTGTGGTCAGAAGCCTTTCACAAGAGTGATAACATTCAGTGCAGTTGTACTTTTTCACAGTACTTTTTTACTGTGTAGTGGGGACGAAAATTCGACAACATGTATCTGATTGTAAAAATCATTTCGAAAGAAATCCAGCCTGGGTTTCAGCAACAGTATGTCTTTGCTTTCTACTCGAATGGTGACTAGAATCGACAAGCCGAAAGAAAATGTAAGCATTTTTCATTAAAACGGGTTTCAGTAAAAATATTTAGTCGAAATCTCATGTTAAATTCAATTACTTTTGTGTGGCTTTTAACTTGTCGGGTAATAAAACCGCGAAATGAGTAAAAATATTTCTGGAACATTTTTATAACCTCAACCATATGGCTACAGAGGGTATATAACAACGGTTTTGACATTTGGAGTGGATCTAAGGGTGTTTGTCAATTTGACTGGTTGGCATGATAACTCTCAAAGGGAGTATCCGATATGATCCAAGGTATGTATACGTAATATTATTGTCAACCTAAGATCAAGTTCTCAGATGCGAAATAAGCATTTTAAACTTCATACATTTCAATATTTGAACTAACAAAAGTCTGATGTGAAGATGGTAGATATTAGCCCACTTCTTCTGATACCTCCCCCACAAAGGGTCAACATTTTGAATAACCAAATAAGCTTTTAAAACGGGAAATTAACATCAGATTCCATTCAAACTCGGCAATAGTTATATCAACACAATCTCTGGTGTACATATGGAACATATCGGACTACAGCTTCTCATACCTCCCCCACAACGGGTCAAAATTTTTAATAACCAAATAAGCCCAAAAAAAGGGAAACATCAGATTCCATTAAAACTCGGCAATAGTTATATCAACACAAGATCTGGTTCAAATATGGAACATAACGGACCACTCCTTCTGGTACCTCCCCCCAAAACGGGTCAACATTTTGATTACATATAACCCTTTTAACATCCGAAACATCTCTTAAAACTAAGCATATATCCATGTTTAACTAATCTCGAAATCTAATGTGAATATCGACCCTCTCCTTTTGATACCTCCCCCACAAGGGTTCAACATTTTGCATAAATCAAATGTCATAAAATTAAAAATAATTATTTGATGTTTTTTCTAACCTCGCACAATGCAATACCTTAACAGACATTAATTCTAGTGTGAAAAATGAACTCATTGGTCCATTCCCCTCTCCCCCCATAAAAAGTAAAATAATATTATTTCTAGAAGCCGTAGATGTAATGTAAAAATGGATGTAATGTAAGTAATTATTGTGCATCTTAATATTTTTACCAGTACAAGAATAATTTATTTTAATACATCCACACTTCCTGCTACTTCCTCTACAAAAGTTCAAAATTTTCCAAAAAAAATATGTACAACTATCCCAAAAAATAGGGAGGAAAACTGGGACGTAGTAATAATTTTATCAGACTTAAGTCTTATATGAAATGGAAAATATTGTCAAGTCAAATTATATTTTATTACTAGCTAAACCCGGTGCGCTTCGCTACCCCTTTTGATTTTATATGCATTCAAAATTTTATTTACGAATATATGTTTGTTAAAAAAAAAA